CCCCCCCCCCACCAGTAATCACACCCGCCTCCAGCTGTCCTGAGACCCTGTTCACATCACCTGCCTGCAGTTTTTGAAGCAAATTCCAGACATAGTCTGTATATAGTTCATAACGGATCTCTAATAGATAAGGACTTGAAAAAGTATCCATAATACCATTTTCAGCCGTAAAAAAGTAATCCCTTAATTGTCAAACACCCAGTATTTGTGTAAGTGTGCAGCTTCCTCCTCACTTCCCGACTCGGGGCTGGTTTCTGTCCGTGGGCCGCAGTCGAGGCGGCACGCCGAGGTCAGCTGCAGGTTCTCCCTGATGTCCCTTGTTCCTCGAAACGTGTCTGCTGTGTCTGCCCTGCACATGGTGCCTGCTGTGCACCAGCCCTCCGTCTGTGGCCTGAGCGGTACACGCGGGGAGTGTGGGGATGCGGAATTGAGACCCCGGCCCTGCTGCCAAGCCATGCCTGCGTGTGGACCAGACTCCCGCGGCTGCACGGAGGTGGCCCCGCCTGGCTTCTGCCACACCCCGGGGTGGTGCGTCGAGGCTTCCTGTCTCCGGGACACCCTGTGAAACACGTTTTGAGAAGCTAATTGGATCCAGAGGTCTGGTCAGATCTAGGTCTGGCTCCTTTTTGCCGGACTGTTGTTTCTTCCACAAGGGGCACATCCCGTCACCTTGGCTGACTTTGGATGTGGGTGGTGGAGGGTGCCCCGTGCCTAAACCCATCAGCCGTGGGGCTGCAGAACACCGATGCCCCGTCAGCCTTCGCTCGGCTGTTAGCCACGGGGCTTCTCCGGAGAGGAACTTCCCTGGAAATGCTGTTCTAGCAGTGCAGTTATCCAGGGTGTAATTTGTAAATTAAAGGCAGGCAATTGCTTCCTTCTCTTTATCTGCCAGTTCTCAGAATTGGTCCCTCACATCCTGCAGCTGCGTTCACGTTTGTTTTTCCACTCTCCCGAGTGTGTGGATGTGAACATATTTGATGTGTTCGCCTGATTGCCATTGTCGCGTCCCTTCAAGGCCCCGCGGACCCACCCGTCTGCCAGCGGGAGCCTCTCCGGTCAGCTCTTGACTTTTCGGCAGAGATGAGTGGTCCCTCGGAGCCGTGTCCCTGGTGTGACAGGGTGCTCTGGGCGCGTCATCTTCTGTTCCTGCCCCAGACCTGGACTCGGCCGTTTCTCCCAGGAGCGCTTGTGGCACTGGGCTGTGGCATGTGGAGACCACGGTCTGGCCCCTGGGACAGCTGTGGATTGGGGGTGGGTTTTGGCTTTTTCAGTGGGTGGAGCTGGGAGATTCGTGGCAGACGAAATAGTTCAGGTGTGCGTGCTGACGCGTCCTGTGACCCTTCACCGAGCTCTTCGGTCGTGGCTCTGATCTTCCACGGGCCGAGAATGAAAGAGCCACTTGCTTTGTCCCTGCTCGCAGGGGTCTCGGTGAGGAGGCTCCTGGAACGCTGTTTTGTCGGGGGTCCCGGGATGACATGTTCTTACCGCCAGATGACGTGGCTTATCGGCTCTGGGAACGGTACCACCAGCGGCACACAGGGGCTCACTTGTTCCTTCTTCAAGAGAGAGAAATTGTCTGCGACTCAGTCACATTCACTCGACGTTTGCCCCAAGCCTCAACAGTCCGCTTCCAGAATGGAGTTGGCTGGGGAGGCGGGTGGGGGCCCGGGGGTGCTGCTCACGGAGACGGGGCTCTGTTGTGGGGGACGGAAGTGTTCCAAGACTGCGGTGGTGGTCGTACAGATCCGAACATGCTAAAAACCACTTGATTGTACACGTTCAACGAGTGAATCCTTTATGATATGTGGTTATGTCTGCATTAAACTAAAAACTTGGGCGGGGAGGGTCACATTCCATTCCAGCAATGAAAGCTGAGGACTCCCACTCCCACTCAGTACAATGTTTGTCTGTAAACCATTCTGTATTTTCGAGGGCTTATTGATGTCCTTGGACGTGAGACTACAAATCCTGACCTGCCCTGTCCACAGCCACGACCCTGATGTAGGTCTTGTCTCTCCTTGCCCGGACCTCCGCCCGGTCTCCTGGTCTCTAGGGCATCGTGTGAGGCACCTGTGGCCATCGCCCCCCCCAACCCTCGCGCACTGCAGCGGCTCTCACACTGTGACAAAGCCCAGAAGCCCCTGGGAGCGGTTGATGGTCTGGCCTCTGGTCAGCTCACCGGCCCTCCCTCCTGCTGTCCCGTGGCATCCAGGACGGCCACTTCTCCTGTCTGAGCTCGTCCCAGACTTCTGTCCCATCAGGTTCTGTTCCAGTCTCTGTGGCTGCTCCACAAGTAACCCCACGCTTGGTGATTTGCAAGGACGCAGTGACGCTCACGAGTCTGGCTGGACAGCGACAGTATGGTTGGCCGTTTGCCGGGGCCCTGCCTCCCTCCCTCTTTCTGTGTCTTTCACCCTCTAGGTCCCTCCCTTTCTCTCAGTTGCTCCCGTGTTGGGGGTTCTGCTGGGAGATCTTCACATGGCCTTCTCTTGTGGCCTAAGCTTCCTAGCTTCCTCGCGGCATGGCAACCAGGTCGCAAGGGGAGCATGAGAGGGAACCAGGTGGAAGCCGTGTCTGTGCTCTGGTCTTGGGAAGCATGCGTCGCTTCTGCAGAATGGAGTGGTCACAGGCCCCCCGTAATCAAGGGGCGAGGACATGCACGCCGCCTCCGATGGGGACGATGTGGACACGTTGCTGAGGCTGTTTCTGGACCTCGGTGCCTGGAGTGGGTGTTCACAGATGCCTGAAAGTATGTGACTGTGGACGATGCCCCCTGGTCTCTCAGCCTGGGGACTGGCCCTCCTCCCGTCTGTCCTGCGCAAAGATGATTCTCTAAGGTGTAGGCCTGATCTCACTACTTTCTAGCCGAGAAGCCTTAGGTGGCTTGACTCTGTCCTCCGGAAAGTCTGACACAGGGCAGACTTCCCACCCTGACCCACACCCCCTACCAGCTGCTGCCTTTCCTTCCCCCATCATTGTGACCCGAGAGGCCCCCGGCCGCACTCTCCCGCTCCGGGCCTCCACCCTGGCCTTGCCCTGCTGCCTGGCGTGTTTCCAGCTTGTGTGCCGGGCACGATCAGGCCCGAGGCGAGAGGGGAGACGGCATGGGTGTGTCTGAACTGCACCGGAGCCACGGTGAGCAGTCCCTCCCGCGTCCCCTTCCTTCCCTCCCCTTCCACTTTGGGACCCTGATCTTTAGAGGAAGTGTCGGTGAGCAGTAAACTTGGCCTCAATCAAGAAACAGATGCAGGAAGCTGAGGAAGTCCAGCTGAGTCTGGCTATTCAGAGCCCAGCGGTTCCCGGAGGTGGTGCTGCTGGGTCAAGAAACCCTCAGGTGGGAGGGGCAGCGACTCCTGGTCAGCAGGGTCTGTGGACATGTGCCGTCCCCAAGCCCACATAGCCAGTCTGGCATTTTCTTTTAGCCGTTTACTTGCAAAATGTCCATTTGTAGGCGGAGCCTGCCTCGCCTGGGGCGGATGACACACACCTGCCCCCCGTTCTGTGGCCAGGTCCAGTAACTGCCTGAGTCTCACTCTTCCCACCGTGGAGGGACTCTGGCCGAGTCTTCAAGGGCCGCGGGCTGCGTCCTGGGCAGTGCGGAGCGGGGGGACTCGGGTGGGGCTGGGCTCCCTCCAAACGGAGGCCTTGCGTGCTTGTCTTGGGTGCTGTGGCGGGGCTCAGGGAGCGGTCAGGGTACCACGGTACCCCCGATATAACGGGCCGTCGCTTCTGAGCCGCACGCTTGGCCAGTTCACATGCTGCACTAGTTCCCTGTTCCCAGAGGGCATTTTGTTGAGTGTCCTCTGAAAACGGCTTTATCAGGCAGCCTTCTGAAGAGCTTTGACCTGGGACAGCTGTCTTGCAGTCAGAGCTTGTGTATGGACGAGCTTTTAGGGGAAATGGGGGTACCGCCTGCTGTCTCTGTCAGCAGAGCAGGCAAGCCGTGGGCTTTATGCCATCTCTGACCTTAGAAATTCAGTGAAAATGTGGTGACTTTTCGTTTTGGCCTGAGATTTCCTCCTCCTTCCCCGGGGACTTACATTGGAAGAGGGTAGGTTTGGAGGAAAATCACTCAGAAAGTAAACTTCCTCAAACTCAGACACCAAGATTTGTCCTTCTTTTCCGGTGTTTCTTAAAAAAGGAAATGCAAAATGGACTGGGAGACACAGCCGCTTGCCCGTGTTAAAATCGGTCTGTTTTTCTTTTCTCTTCCTCCTTTCTGTTTTTCTCTCTTTTTAAATGTAGCTGCGGATACCCAGGATGAAGCAATCAAGCCCCCGCCCCGGCGGTCATATCTGGGTACGTACCACACCGCACGAGGCTGCCCGCCCGCTGGAGCCCCTGCTTCGTTCATTCTGTGCGGCTCTGTCCCCGCTCAGCCCTCACGGCCATGCTTGCCCCGCGCGTGCGCCTCATGGTACCAGTGTGCCCACGTCCCCAGCAAACTAACCAACACATAGCCTGCTACTGTTAAGCATGAACTAGTTCCTAGAAACCTGCCCATTGTGTGTGTGTGTGTGAGTGTGAGTGTGAGAGAAAGAGGGAGGGAGGGTAGGAGAGAGGCGGGGACAAGGAGGTGGTCGGAGTTCAGGTTTCCGAACGCTTTTAAGTCTGTTCTTTTTGCTGCCGTGGCGGACGGAATTGTTTTCTTGATTTCATTTCGCATTGCATGTGGCTATCTCCTAGAAATAAAATAGATTTTCATACGTCGATCTCGTATCCTGCAGCTTCGTGCGTCTCGTTTATTGGTGCTGTTAGCTTTTTAGTGGATACTTTAGGACTTCTGTATGTAAGATTACATCATCCGCAAATAGAGATACGCTTACTTGTTCCTTCCCAGTCTGGATACTTTTTCTTTTTCTTGCCCAATTACCCTAGAGTCCGAAATGGCTACAACGGTGAGCCTGGCCGAGCTGGTCTTGCTCCCGAGTTGAGTGAGACGGCATCCCTTCGCCACTACGTGTGATGTCAGCTGTGGGTTCTCACAGATGCCTCAGATTAGCGGAAGCAAGAACCTTTCTGTTCTGAGTTTGTTGTTTCGTTTGTTTGTTGTAGCCCTGAAACAACGTTGAAGTTTGTCTACTGCTTTTCTGTGTCTGTTGAGATGATCGTGTGGTTTTTGTCCTTTATTCTACATTGACTGATTTTTGTATGTTGAACCAACATTGCATTCTTGGGATACGTCCCATCTGACCATGATGTGTAACCCTTTTTATAAGATGCTGGATTCTGTTTGCTAGTATTGTGTTAAAGATTTTTGTGTCCATGTTCACAAGAGATATTGGTGTGCGTGTGTATGTGTGTGTGTGTGTGTGTGTGTGTGATGACTGTGGTTTTAATATCAGGACAGTACTGGCCTCGTAAGGCAGGTTGGGGATGGGAAGTGTTCCCTCCTCTTCCATTTTCAGTTGTGAAAAATTGGTACCAATTCTTTATTAATTAAAGTTTTTTGAGGTGTAATTGATACATGACATCACTTTCAGGTGTATGTTATTGGACGTTCGTATGTACTGTATATGTGGTGAAGTACGTTGTGAAATGCGTGTGTTGTACATAGTCTAGTTGACGTCAGTCATCTGACATGGTTACAAGATATTTTCTCCTTAGGATGAGGACTTTTAAGATCTACTCTCGCTAAGCCAGTTTCAAATGTGCAACACAGTATTGTTTTTTGTTTGTTTTTTTTAATGTTTATTTATTTTTGAGACAGAGAGAGACAGAGCATGAACAGGGGAGGGGCAGAGAGAGAGGGAGACACAGAATCTGAAACAGGCTCCAGGCTCTGAGCTCTCAGCACAGAGCCCAACGTGGGGCTCGAACTCACGGACTGCGAGATCACGACCTGAGCCGAAGTCGAATGCTTAACCGACTGAGCCACCCAGGCGCCCCCACAGTATCGTTAACTATAGGCACCATTCTGTAAATTACATCCCCATGGCGTACTTATTTTGTAACTGGAAGCTTGTACCTTTTGACCACCTTCGCCCATTTTACCCATCCTGAACCCCCCACCTCTGGCAACCACCAATCTGTTCTCTGCGTCCATGGGCTTATTGTGGCTTTGTTTTGTTGTTGTTGTTGTTAGAGTTCCACATATAAATAAGTTCATATGGTATTTTTGTCTTTTTCTGTCTGACTTATTTCACTGACAATGCCCTCAAGGTCCATCCTTGTTGCCAATGGCAGAACTTCCTTCTTTTTTCTGGCCGAATAATATTCCACCATACATATTTACATCACATCTTCTTAACCGACTGAGCCACCCAGGCGCCCCCACACCACATCTTCTTTATCCATTCACCTGTTGGTGGACACTTGGGCTGCACCCACATCTAGCCTACTGTAAATAATGCTGCTGTAAACACAGGGGTGCACACATCGTTTTGAATTATTGTTCTTGTTTTCTTTGGATACATACCTAGTAGTGGAATTGCTGGGTCATGAGGAGTTCTAGTTTTAATTTTTTTAAGTTTATTTATTTATTTGGTGGGGGGGCGTGCAGAGAGACAGAGAGAGACAGAGAGAGAGAGAGAGAGAGAGAGAGAATCCCAAGAAGGTTCCTCACTGTCAGCACAGAGCCCGACATGGGGCTCAATCCCATGAACTGTGAGATCATGACCTGAGCTGAAATCAAGAGTTGGACGCTGAACTGACCTAGCCACCCGGGCACCCCTGCCCTCCTTTATCCTTTATGATTGATTTCCTTTAGTTCTTTGAACATATTTATGATAACTGTTTTGAAGTCATTTCTGCTAAGTCTGATAGCTGTTCCCTTTCAAAAGCAATTTTGTTTTTATTTTTCTTCTCTGTGCAGGCCACTTTCCCATTTCTTTGCATTTCTCAATGTTTTGTTGAAAACTGTATTGCAAAATACTGTAGCAGTTCTAGTTACTGATCCCTGACCTTGGCTGCGGGGAGGCTTGTTTGCTTATTTGTTTAGTGACCTGGCTGGATGAGCGCTGTCTCTGCACCTCTCCTCCCCCAGGTGAGGCTGTGGTTGGTTGATGTACTTGGTCCCCTCCAAGCCCCTGGGTGATCTGCCTCCACTGCTGTCACACTCACCTGTTAGCCTCCTCTAATGGCTAGCTGATTGCTCTGTTGGTTTTGATGACGTGCTGGGGCGTGCACAGGTCTGGTCCAGTTGAGGCCAGGCAGGGGGTCAGGGGGTGTCTTGAGGGCAGTCTTTGAGAACTGCTGTGTCCCCAGGATGACTCTCCTTGGCTGTTTGTGTCTGGTAAATGTCGACCGGGTCTGTTTCCCTTGTTGCCATAGTGGAGCTTCCAGCTTCCTGTGATTGCTCAGGTACCAGATTCCTCACTGTTCTGTCAGCGCCCTTAGGCTTGAACTTGTTCATACTGTGTTCTAAGCAGAGGTTCTCCCTTTCGGGAGAGCTGCAGAACTGGCTGTTCTCACACCCCCCGCTTCCGGGACAGAACCTCTGAACCCCTGCTCTGGCACCCGTGCTGGGGCGGCGTGCTGCTCCTCCCACCGTGGGACCCGTAAACCCCGTGAGCTGGGTCAGGACGGTGCTCTCTGTTGGCTGCGCCCGGGGTGGAGTGTCTGTCCCGGTGGGCAGGGAGCCCTGACTTGTCTGCCCTTCTTGCCAGGAGGAGAGCGGGAGCCCAGCCAGAGGTGAGAAGTGTCTGTGCCCGCACTGGGAGCTCTGGCCGCCCCGCCCGGGGTGGAGCTTTTGCCACGCGGGGTCATGTCTCAAACCCTCTTTTCTTAAGTAGATGTTTCTTCGTTGCTGTATGGCCATAGGACGCTTTCCAGAGATTGTCAATGGTGGTGTTTTAGAGTTCACAGCGGTTCTCTTATTCTGCCGGGGAGAGCGTCTGCAGAGACCCTCACGTCGCCACTCCGTCCCATTCACTGGGTTACCCGACCGGAGCCCTGGCAGCCGGGATTACACGGGATGTTTCGGGCCAGGAGAGCACGATCTGTTTTTATTTGGAGCTTCCCTGAAGGCTGGACTCGGGGCCTGACCGCTTCTTGGTTGGTTTCGTGTTCGTGTGAATAGGACATGTCCTCCGTTGAGTTTTTGGAGGTCGCCTTCAAACTGTAATTGTAAGTGAGGGTGCTGTTTTGACTTGGAGTAAAACTACGTCCCCGTCCCTCTGTGTCAAGGCCTCCCTTGCTCTTTCCCCCGAGTCCAGGGTGCTTGTGTGGAGAGTCACTGCTCAAGCACTTGTCTGCGGGACTGTTGGCCGGGGTGACCAGCCTCCTGCTGGACTGTTGGTGCAGGGCACGGGGCCTCAGCCTGTGGCCTCTTGTCCAGTGTAGGATGCCCACTAACCAGAAATTAGCAGCAAAAGAAAGAGCCAGAAATGCAGTAGGATAAAAGGAAAAGGCTGCTGCAGTTGAGGGGTGCCAGAAAGGCCAGCCCGTCACGGAACCCAAGACGGGCTCACCTCTGCTGGGGGGTCGGCCACGAGGACGTGATGGGCTTACTCTCTGAGAGCATTTTGCAGTGAGGGCCAGTGCTCTGGCTCACTGCTCAGTCGTGCTCAGCTCCCTCGGGTGGGTTGGGGCCTCTGGATCCCTGGATCTGTGTCTCACAGCAGCGGCCCGCTGGTCCCCTGGCCCGCCCGCTGGTCCCCAGGCCCGCCTGGTGGGGGTGGGTGTGGGCGGATGGGGCAAAGGTGGCTCAGTACAGTGAACCCCGGCTCTGAAGGCTGACGAGGGCGTTTGCAGTCCTACAGCCAGATGGCGCTGTTGTCTCTGCTAACCCTGTTTCCCTGTCCAGGCAGAGTGGTTGCAAGCCACCTCCTCCCCTGCCCTGTGGCTTCCCTCCCGCACAGCAGGAGCCCCGCAGGCCCCTGTCCTGAGCTTTCTCTGGTGGCCCCACAGGCGCCACATGCCCCCCCAGAGCCTGGCGTCCCCCTATTCCTTGTTGGAGTGTGAGCTCGGGGACGTGGGGTCGTAGGTCAGGGCTGTGTCCCTGTGTCCCTGGATTGAGCGGGCACTCGGCAGGGTCACAGAGACAAGCACAAGTGCTTGGGCAGGGGCGGAGGACGGGGAGCTTCCAGGAGAGCAGTGTGGTGAGAGCTGAGTGTCTCTTTGACCCGGGGTGGTTTTGTTTTCACGGAGAGTTGATTTTTAAATATTTAAAAATTTTTTGAGAGACCGTAGAGTTAAGGTGGGAATCTGGTAGTGTGTTTTCGAGCTGTTGGAGAACAAGTTGCTGACTCGGTGCTTGGTGACACCCACGTCCTCCAGTGTTCCCTCTGGAAGGCAGGACCTGTGCCTCCACGGCCACAGCGCAGCCTGGTCCCACGAGCCTGGCGCCTGCGGCCTCA